CAATTGGTAGACTCTAGAAGTGAACCTTGGCAAATAATATCGAGATATGTCAGCCAGTTTGTGTGAAATGCGAACAATAACTCTGGCATCTCTCTTCTAAGTTCACGATTAATATGAAATTAATTTATGACATCTTCCATCTTTCGTGTACATCGCTCTAAGAATAACAGCCTTTCTCGAATGGGTTCGAACATATGCGGAAATGTAGAAGAATAATGCAACCGTGTACACTGTGTTATGACTGTTTACAAGCGCCACACATGAACTTAGACCATCTCCGAAGTTGATGCAGTGAAACGACCACATTCAAAATATCGCATTACATTGCAGCAGCAACATAGTCGAAATGCATTATGTACTCATTGTAACTGGCTGTACTCACTTATAACGACATACGCCAAGACGGAAAGGAATGGAAAATTTAAGTAACAAGGAACGGTTGAGCCGATGTCGTTTAACAAGGAAAGTCGCATTTCAGGCCTTAATCGTTCCTCTGCCCTCAACAGAGTTCACCATGACCGAAATATGTACCTTTAACCTGAACTCACAATGGATTTCAAAGACACTGATTGATAAATCTTGAGAGAGTTTAGCAGTCGAAGAGCATTGAACTTTTAGCAGAAGGCATGCTACAGTTTTCATTTCATAAGTTCATATGGTCGTCAGTTCCGATGTCATCTTTGAACTATTGAAGGGTTCAATGATTACGTATTACTTGTTACCGTCACTCATTGTGTCATCCGCCGTGCGCCAAAGATTTTCACAGAGCTACATTGACATGGGTCGATGGCGGAGCCAGTAGACAGGTACAAGCTGGTATCCCGTCTGGGACGAACATCAGTTTTAAAACGGAACTTTAACCCATATTAGACGGAACCTGTTTATTCTTGCTACTTTTAAACGCACCATTTCGAGATCGGTGGTCGTTCGAAAAGCGGTCCATCTAGCAGTCATGACCTGCCACCCAATCACTCTCGCCGTGATTTTTATATTGCTGCCTTTCGTGCCGATCACTGGAGTACTGCAGGACGTTGAGTCCGAGCTGCAACTGCTGGACAAGAATTTACTTGATGGCTGTCCGTTCATTCCTCACGCTGTCTACGACAAATGGCCGCACGGAGACGAATGCACGGCCTCTGGCAAAAACATGGAGTGCGGTGCCAATAAAACCTGCTGCGAGACTCCGGTCGGGTACAAGTGCATGTACAGGGAAGGTAAAACGTGAACGGACGGTCCAAATAAACCACGAACAAACCTCTTTTAGGAGTCAGAAAGCCATACTGTCCACTGACCGTTCTATTCAAGTCCGTTTCCAACGAAACCATAGCGCTGGACGAGTGCATTGTAGACTACGAATGCAGCAAGTTTCAAATATGCTGCCACTACCGCGTCGTCAGCATCTGTGTATCGAATTACGCCACTTCTGCTGGTAGCATGAACCTCATCGATCGCTTTGTTCGGTGTTATTTTATCTGTACTTCTCAGATGTCTGCCCGAGAGGCTTCAACTGGACCGGACTTTGCCAGCACACGAATGAATGCGACAGCGGAAGCATCGAGACGCACTGCCTCAACGGCCACTGTTGCACGAAGTAGACTTGGAATGCAGAAATTCGAGGGCGGAAGTATCCTCTTACTTTCGCCATTTGTTACTTATGCAAATATAAAATTTATAAAAAATATCTACTTGATGCTTTTCAACTTTAAACCGCACTTTTGTATTTATTACAACTGCCGTATAGGCGTTCTTATATATTTTTGAAAGTTTTCGTCGCTCCTTTTCCGATGCTGAAAAATCGACCATTACTGAAAACGATTACGTAAGAAA